ATCTCTTGACCTCGTGATCCACCCGCCTCGGCCTCCCAAAGTGCTGGGATTACAGGCTTGAGCCACCGCGCCTGGCCTTGATACCTATTTTTATAGATCTTAAGACAAAAATCAATGAAATGCGGTTTAGGCATGCATGTACATGTAATAAAATCATATTTAAAAAGGAAGTGAATGATGAAGACCAAATTCAGGCTTATGTTTATCTCAGAGGGAAAAGAAGGGTGTGAGATAAAACCTAAAAAGACACAAGTTGGGCTGGGCGTGGTGGCTCATGCCAGTAATCCCAGCACTTTGGGAGGCTGAGGAGGGCGGATCATGAGGTCAGGAATTCAAGACCAGCCTGACTAACATGGTGAAACCCCATCTCTACAAAAAATACAAAAATTAGCTGGACTTGGCGCATCCCTGTAATCCCAGGTACTCAGGAGGCTGAGGCAGGAGAGTCACCTGAACCCAGGAGGCAGAGTTTGTGGTAACCAAGATCGTGCCACTGCACTCCAGCCTGGGAAACAGAGCAAGACTCCATCTCAAAAAAAAAAAAAAAGACACAAGTTGTTGGTAATGCTCTAGTTGTTGGGGTGGGTGGTGGGTACATGTGGTTTCATTATAATATGCTGTATAACTTGTATGTTGCATATAATATTTATGTGTGTCAAATAATATAGCTTCTAGAAGTGAAAAGTAATGAAAGAATACTTGAGGGACAGCCCCAGACCTATAGTCTTACTGCTTATGCTGGTAGGGTAGATTTAAAGAAGCAGGAAATAAAAGTCTGAAATGTCTTTATATTATCTCTCAGAATTGATAATGCTCTCATGAAATGTGAAAATAAAAAAGTTATCTATAAATTCAAAGTGGTAGTCATGGAGACCTTAGACTTTAAATTTATATTGATGGCCTTTTATTTTTCTTTTAAAATATGTTATTGCTTTTAAAAAATTGTGTGTGTGTGTGTGTGTGTGTGTGTGTGTTTTGTATGTTTTTTTGAGTTGGAGTCTTGTTCACCTAGGCTGGAGTGCAGTGGCATGATCTCTGCTCACTGCAACCTCCACCTCCAGGGTCAGGCGATTCTCTTACTTCAGTTTCCTGAGTAGCTGGGACTCCAGGTGTGCGCCACTAGGCCTGGCTAAGTTTTTTAAAATTTTTTTACTTTTAGTAGACATGGGGTTTCACCATGTTAGCCAGGCTGGTCTTGAACTCCTGACCTCAGGTGACCTGCCACCTTAGCTTCCCAAAGTGCTGAGATTACAGGCGTGAGCCACTGTGCCTGGCCTAATGTTTGTGTGTGTGTGTGTGTGTGTGTGTGTGTGTGTTATTTTTTAAAGACGAGGTTTCACCATGTTGGTCAGGCTGGTCTTGAACTCCCGACCTCAGGTGATCCACCCACCTTGACTTCCAAAGTGCTTGGATTACAGACGTGAGCCACCATGCCTGGCCTAATTTGTGGTTATTGAAAAAATTTCAAATATTATAGAAATTACAAAGTTAATATAAAGGTAATTTAAAAATCTCACTACCCAGATTAACAACTATTTTTAAAAATTGGTGAATATTGGCCTGGTGCCGTGGCTTACACTTGTAATACCAGTACTTTGGGATGCCAAGGTAAGCAGATTGCTTGAGGTCAGGAGTTTGAGACCAGCCTGGCCAACAAGGTGAAACCCCTTCTATGCAAAAAATTAGCTGGGCGTGGTGGCGCGCACCTATAAATCCCAGCTACTTGGAGACTGAGGCACAAGAGTTGCTTCAGCCTGGGAGGCAGAGATTACGTTGAGCCAAGATCGTATGCCACTGTACTCCAGTGTGGGCAACAGAGCGAGACTCTGTCCCAAAAAAGAAAAAAAAAACTGATATGTATCTTTCCAGGTAGCTTTCCAGACATAGCTGTACATGTTTAAGTAGGTAAATATATAACAAATTCCCATAAGTGGGATTATGTTATACATATTATTTTGTTTAGACTGACATAATCTTTTCTTCCATGCACCATGAATTTTTTGAGTACCTACTCCCTTGCAGGCATTATACTAGACATTGAGAATGCAGCAATGAACAAGACAGAAAACTCCTGCCCACATGGAGCTTACATTCTAGAGGGGCAGCAGGCTACTGGACCAAGGCTAACTTGAAATCTACCCTGCCTCTAGATATTATAAGCTCCCTTTATTTCTTAAATTAGTTTGTTTCATATGTTCTGTTGCTTTCAATTGAAGAGTTCCTTACTTATGTACAACCAGTGTTTCCTCATTTACTATTCTCTGCCTTTTTTGTTGTTGTTGTTAATTTTTTCACACTCTAGAGGATTCTAGAGTGGGACCATTCTCTGCCTTTTATTTAATATTCCAGCCAATCAAAATAGCTTGTTCCCTGCGTATACTATGACATTTCTCATTTGCTTTTGTATACACTGTCTCCTCTATTAGAAATACCCTCATAGCTCTGGCCAGAGTCACATAACTTAGTTTTGGTAGCATAGAATTTTAATTGTGGTCATAGTATGTATTATGAAAATGGCCCCTTCCTTTTATTCTTTCTTTCTTGGACTGTTATTCTTTCTAGTATATCTAAAGGTATATTACTATGTGCGTAATGATGTATGTGTATGTGATGATGAGAATACTTAAATGTTTTCATGAATACTATAAAAATCATTTTTATAGTTGTACAACACCAAGATTTTAAAACTATGAAACCAATGCATTAGAGAAAACATGTCTTACAATTTGGTTTGACATTTTGACTAATAATTTCTTATCTAATTTTCTCCCATAGGGAATATTTTAACTGAGCCAATTGGCTACTTGGAATCCTGTTTCTCAGCCAAGAATGGTACTCCAAGACAGCCATCCATTTGTAGCTATTCTCGAGCCTGTTTGAGGATTAGAAAGAGCATCTTTAATAATCCTGAACATTCCCTGATGGGCCTGGAACAGTTTTCTCATGTTTGGTAAGTTGTTTTATAGTTAGATATAGGACTTGGGGCCAGAACTTGCCCCTGAATAAAGTACTCCAGTTGAAGGCAAGCTTGGAATCTGCCATCCAGACCACCCTCATCTTTTTGTTTTGTTTTGTTTTTGAGACGAGTCTCACTCTGTCACCCAGGTTGGAGTGCAATATCAGCGCACTGCAACCTTTGCCTCCCAGCCTCGAGGTATCCTCCCACCTCAGCTTCCTGAGTAGCTGGGACCACAGGTATATGCCACCATGCCTGGCTAATTCTTTTTTGTATTTTTGGTAGAGATGGGATTTTACCATGTTGCCCAGGCTGGAATCTTCATCTGTTGCATGGAATTTTTTTTTTTCTTTTTGACAGGTGCAATAGTGAGAAGGGAAAAACAGAAAGTTCAATCTGTAGCTGACTATGAACAATCAGTTGAGATAACTCACTGCCTTCAGACCAGCCTGTTCTATGGAATTTTGTCCTGTATTTGTGTATATGATTGTCTGTGTTATTTAGACATCCTCAGGGAAGCTTGGGATCCACTGAGGTGGCATGTTCTGTTTGAAGTTGGTTCTAATTGTGATGAACACCTGCTGAGTGGGATTGATAGACTTCCTTGATTCTGCCCCTGGGTCATTATTCTATCCTCTAGACCAGGGATCAGTAAACTAGGCCATTTTTGTAAGTTAATTTTATGGGAACACAGTCACGCCCATTTGTTTCTGTATTGTTTGTGGCTGCTTTTGTGCTGCAGCAGTGGAGTTGAATAGTCTCCCCAGTGACTGGTTGGCCTGCAAATCCTAAAATACTACTCTCTGACTTTTTACAGAAAAAATGTGCAGCCTGCTCTAGACTCACACAGAATTAAGTCTACTCCTGAAAGACAAGACACTGTAGAAATCTAGATGCTTTATGTGTTACCTGTATTAGGGCCTGTGTTATACTAGCATTATTTGTGTCATTTCAAATTCTGTCTGTGTTCATTATTCTTCACCTCAACATCAGCAGTCTACCTCGCTCTATTTTTTTGGGTAGAGAACTGAAAATTAAGTATTTATTCTGAAATAGTTTATTTTTCATGTTAGTTTGGGGCAAGAGTATATTAGAAAGAAAATGTGTGTTCTCACCTAGTTTGTATTATGATCCTGATTGAATAAGTTAAAAACATCGATGGTGGAAAAAATGGGTTCAGAAGTATATAAACAGATTTATCCTTATCACTCCCATTTTTTCCCCCTCTCCCAACCCCAATCACTCATCAGAGATTATTACTGTTAACGGCATGGTGTAGATCCTGCCAGACCTTTTAATATTTTCTTTTTTGAATATACATAGAAACAAATATATACCTACAGAGTAGGTATTTATTTTTTAAAAAAGTGTACTTCACTTAACAGGCTATACCATGGAGAACTTTCATGGCAGTAGATTTACCTTTTTTTTTTTTTTTTTTTTTTTTTTTTTTTTTTTTTTTTTTTAGCTGTCTATTATTACAAAATATAGATGTACCATGCACACTCTTGTTAATGGAGGGCTATGTTATTATGATAATACTGTGACAGACCTTCCTTTAGACACATTTTTGGCCACTTGTGCATTTTTATGGACAGGATATCAGAAGTGGATATGCTGGGCTAGAAGATAAGCATATTTAGAATTTTGGAGAACTACTTCAAAATTATCCTCTAAAATTAACCAATGTATACTTCAATAATATATTCAAATGACCTTTTTACTGCCCCCTTCTCAACACAATATGTTAGCAGTTTTTTACGTTTTTGCCCGACGGTGAAAAAGAGTATTTTTGTTTTTTAGTTTAATTTCTAAATTTAGAAATTTCT